AGGATAATTAATATTAATCCTAATCATTCCATTACATATATATCCAAATCCCATAAAAGAACCATGTCTTGATAAGATATACTTGTCACTTTCTAATTCTTGTTTGTAACCATAATTATTTAATACAATTTCAGACACGAGATTCTTACGAATCCCAAGAACATATAAAACATTGTTCAAACACAAACATTTCCCAGAAGTAATAGTAAGTAAAGAAAATCCTAGGCCCTTGATTGGTTTAGTTGCAACATTTCCCATCTTCACAACAAATCCATCTTCAATTGGTTGAAAGTCCTTGAACTAATGTAGATCTTTACAAACACGACTTGTTGCTCCCAAATCAACCCACCATGTAACATTATCATCCTGCACATAAAATGCTCTAGAAATGACAGAAATATAATTTTGAATATATTTAGAATTCTGCATGAAAACAGAAATCTGACCTTGTTGCTATTCTGGATCCTTGGATCCACTTGGACTGTAACACCCTGTTTATTAAATAAACAAATAAATAAATTAATGATTGTATAGTAGCCATAAAATCAATAATTATATAGTAAGGTGTTGATTTCGAGGAGTTAAATGGCATAATTTAGAAGTTGGGGGTTAAAAGTGTAAGTTCCGGGATTTATTTTGTAAAGATTGTTGGAAGACAGGGGGTGGTTGGTATCATTTGGACCTAATATGAAAGGATTTATGGAAACAAGGGCTAAAGAGTAAATTCTGGACCTAAGTTGAAAAGGTTTTATTGAGGGAGGGGCTGCACGGTAAGTACTGGGACTTAAGTTGAAGGGTTTTTGGGTGGCTGGGGTTAAAAAGGTAAATTTCGGACTTAATTTGTAAGGGTTTTCTGAAGGAAGGGTTAAAATGGTAAATTATGGGATCTATTTCGAAATTATTTCTGAAGGGAGGGACTATTTATGTCATTATGGGATTAAGTTTTGTGGTACACGGGTATATAACGGTTTCATTGCCTAACCCTAACCCTAATAGAAGCAATCAGCCGTCACCCTCCTTATGCCTCCCTCACCGGCCGCCACTCTCAGTTCTTCAGCTCCGATCGCCACCTCTCTTCTCTCTTTCTTGCTGTCGGCGACAACGAGAACCACCCGCTTCTGAGACCCTTCCACAACAGCTAGCCGCCGCCACCGCTTGTGCAACCAACGAAGGAGGCTGTTCCATCGTTTCTTCCTCCGACTGCCATGAGCCACCGCGAGGATGGTTGTGATTGGGTGCGTTCCCTTGCTCAGCTCGTCGATGCTACGCCTTTTCTTTTCTCCATTTCTTTCCGATGGTTACATCACTGCTGCCAACCCGAAGGTCGCTATGTCTCGCCGATGTCCCCTCCCCTCCCCCCCCCCCTCGTCAGCCGCCTGCCACCGAGAAATGGTGGATGAGTTCGTGGACTCGTGAAACTGTGTTCGTGTTATGATGTTGTGTGCGTGTGTTGCAGTGGTTAGGGCCACAAGAGCTTTTCTTGACCGGAGATTCGAAGAAGGACCCCACCACCACCATGTACCGCCATGTGTGTGTGTGTTTATCTTAGTGAGTGAGTGTGTTTGTTTTTTTTTTGGGTTATTTCATTGTAAAATTGTAATAGTGGCTAGAATAATGAAAAGAAAACTCTTAACCACCACCGTAGGGTGGTGGCTGCTGCCTCTTGCCGCCACCAACTGCCGTGTTGGGTGGCGGTGTGCGTTTGCTTGTGTGTAGTTAATTTTTGGATGCTTGGACAAGATGGATTAGAAACCCTAACCACCATCATGAGGTGGTGGCCGCCGCTGTAAGCCGCCGTTGACCACCACTACCCGAAGTGGTAGTGGGTGGTGCCCAACTAGCGAAACCGTAATGGGCCTAGTGAAACTCTAATGGGCCTAATAAACCCTAATGGATCTAAGGACTTAGCTTTTGGTCCTATTGTGCTATGATTGGGTTGGAAACCCTAATTAGGGTTTAGAAAACCCTAATTTTGGAATAATGGGCTTGGACTTATCGGGACCCGCATTTTGGGCCATTGGAATTGGATCATGTATTAAGCCTGACTATATTATATGATTTATCTAGTAGAGTGATGGACTTAATGGGTTAAGTGAGAAACACTTAACCCTAATTGACATTTTATGTGAAACCTTAATTTCACTTGGGCTTTGTGTTGGGCCCTTCTATTGGGCTTTGATGATTGGGCTAATAATGGGCCATCCAAGAACAATCAAATGGACTAGAATATTTAGATGAGCTTTAGGGTAATGCCCATATGAAGGTTTGGGCCCAATTTGGAAAATTGGGCCATAGTTTGGGCCTTAATGATTATATGATATTGGGCCGTTAGAATGTCAAATGTTGGACTGGAATAAATGGTTGGGCCTTAGGGTAAGACCATGTAAACGTTTGGGCCCAATTTGGAAAATTGGGCCATATGTTGGGCCTTGAGCCATAGTTGGACTTTTGGGCCTTTGGTTTGGGCCTTGGGCTTGAATCAAGCCAGGTTAGGGGTAGAGTAGTCTTTTACCCCCAAGCACGGACTTATGGTTATGTATTGGAACCCAATTATTAATCGGGTGTTATTTTGATGTTGACAGTTCGGGAAACTGTCATCCAGCAGCTGGGGTTGTGTACACGGGACTTCAGTAGTGTGAGGTGAGTTACCTTCTAGTAGTGGTGGGTCTATGGACACAATGCTGACCCACTAGTAGGAATTATATGATAGATGATTGTCTTTGTGATAATTATCTAGGTTTGCTGCTACCTGATGTGTTTTATGTGCTAGCTTGATATGATGTTATGTGATAGTAGCAGTAGGGGAATAGTCCCCGTATTACGGTCGTTAGGACCGAAGGGTAGATCAGGCACCCCATATATGCCTGTCATTATGTTATGCTATGTTATTGTGTGGTAGTAGTAGGGGGTGAAATAGTCCCCGTAGCCTGTTGAGATAAACTGGAGGGTAGGTTAAGCACCCCAAAACTGCTTGAGATGGGTAGGCCGGGCACCCCAGAAATGCCTGGCATGGTAGGTCGGGCACCCCAGAATTGTCTGGCAGTATGTATGTTGTATGGTATGTGGTATGATGGGGGAACTCACTAAGCTTCGTGCTTACGGTTTACAGTTTGGGTTTCAGGTACTTTGTTTTCAAAGGAAAGGAGTCGGCCCGATCGCAGTGCATCACACTATGTTTTTCGCACATGAGATCTTTAGGATTGCACTTTGATATTGTTTTATGATAACATGTTTTGATTATTGACACTTTGGTTTTGACATGATATGTTTTATGTATGTTTTTATACTGTTGGTTTTATGAACTATTAAACTAAAAATGAAATTTTTGGTCTTGAATTTTGGGATGTTACATGGACCAGCACCATCCTTGTTCATCTTATGAAGGTGACAATCTTTCTTGAAATGACGCGGTTTGTTACAGTTCCAACAAACCGCTTTTCCATCTTGTTAGAAGGCTTGTCATCCTTTCCTTTAAACTTCCTTTACCATTAGACTTCTTCAGATTCTTTGGTCCTTCTCCATTCACCATGTTCACAGAAGAGGAACCAACTTGGTTCTTGCCTTTGGGATTGTTATGAAGTTCTTGAGTACTTAGAGAATCTTCAATTTGTAAATGACTTCCAAGTTGAACCAAAGTTAATTATTCCTTGTTATGTTTCAAAGTGTGTTTAAACTCTTTCTAGGAAAGGGGCATTTTTCCATGATAACAGCCACAAAAAAGGATTAATCCATTTTTAGATTGTGTTAGGCAAACTGTCCCAGGATCCTTAATATTTCATGGTATTGTTCCATAACAGGCCTGGAATCAACCATCTTGTAACCCATGAAGTTACCAACCAAAAATTTCTTAATTGAAGAATCTTCTGCCATGTATTTGGATTCAAGGGAATCCCATAATTCTTTTCCAGATTCGACATTTTGGTAGATATCAAAAAGAGAGTCAGACATACCATTGAGAATGTAAGCATGACATATAAAATCATCATTTTCCCACCTTGATCTCCTCCTTGTTGCCTCTAAATGTTCATCTTCAACAGATTCTAGTTAGGTTGGCATTGGTGTACTAAGAGCATACATTACTTTCAGAGTGGTAAGGAGAAACTTCATCTTTTTCTGCCATGTATGAAAGTATTGGCCTTCAAACTTCATCAATTTTTCAAACTTGCTTGTCATGTCCTTCACAGAATCGCCACTTGCAATGATCACATAAATACTTTCATCTTTGTTAGAATTGTGGATATAGAAAGGCTTGAAAATTATGAGAATCGTGTTGAACACTTTCAGATTAAAGTATTTGGGTGGTACTCCCAATCCTATTTAATCGGATAAGACTCAAAGAGACAAGAACAGAGAACGTTTTAATGATATGATTTTGTATGTACCAAAAAATGAGACCAAAAACCGATTTATGATCTCTGTCCGAAAACTGTCACATGACAGTTGCAAACTATCATAAAACTACTAAAACTAACATAAAAACGGGTATTTGGATAAGGGTCAAACGGATGGTTAATTCTCTGAAAAGCCGATTTTTTTGATGCATTTTTAATATAGTAACGTAACATATATAAAAACGAGTATTTGAATAAGGGTCAAACCAATGGTTAATTCTTTGAAAAACCGATTTTCGACCCCAGCCAGGGGCTCTGTCCCTTGGACCACGCTCCCTGGGGCGCTACCTCCGGACCCCCGTTCGTTCAGGGGCTTCATCCTAAATGACAGTGTACTTTGAAACTTGATCAAACTTAAACAAGTGTGTGCTCCATACCATTATTACTTGTTTAATATTTATCAAGATTTTTGGTCAACAAATTAATCTCATTACACTTAAATAACACACACACACACACACACACACACACACACACCACACACACACACAATATATAGATATATATATATATATATATATATATATATATATATATTATAATATATATATATGATGCTCTTCAACTGTTGTATTGATTCATGAAAATAGTTAAGAGATAACTAGCCAAGCATAATAACTAAACTACAGTGATATTACAGAATACCCTTAATGTCTAGCTTATTTCACCAATGACATTAATTTAAATTGTAGGACACTGAATCGTTAGAGAATTTGAGAATAGGTTTATGAAGTAGGGAGTCGATCTTCAACGTGGAAAAGACTAAGAGGAGGAGGAAAACAAGAACCGAAATTGTTGATAAGACTACTGCTAATCCAGTTGCTGTGAGACTCTTCACTTGCTGAGCGTATGCTGTGGCTGCCAGAGCAAGGAAGGTGAGAGGGAAGGAGAAAGCCCACCATGCCACACTGAACTCTTTCACTGATTTCTTGAAAAGCATCGGCCGGCTAGCCTATTTCATACAACACATTTATCAAAAAATCAGAACCAGTTTGTCGCAAGACCTAGCAATATGTGTTGATGTATAGAGAGAAACAAACTTACCAAAGATGTAAAGAGAAATAAGGACAGAAAGAATAGCATTTTGCATTGGATATCAAAGCTTCCTTTAATAGATTTCCAGGCTAAGGCCGCCATGCTTGGGGCAGCTACAAAGAGGAAGAAAACAGGTCTGAGCTTGGAGGGGATGTGATTACTGCCAGACAGACGCTGATAAAGGGTGATAAAAACAATCATTATAATGAGTCAGTCCCAATGTAAACAAGAAAGTGCCACTTTCTCTCCACCCCATCTTAATGGCTGCATGGGCTCCTATGAAATTCCCTATTACCGATAGTTGACTTGTTGGATTAGCCACCATTGACAAAAACCTCTTTTCAGTCGTAAACCATTGCCCATATACCTTTACATCAAGACCTACCACTGGAATGATAAGCAGCCACCATAAATACTCACAAGAGTATTTGTGGCGTAAAATGAATGATGGAGCTGATAGAAGTAACAGGAGCCATGATATCCACGGTGCAAATAGGTAATTTACTCCTACATGGTGATGGAACTCGGCTTTCACCATGTTGAAGTAGAAAATGCACCTCAAAACATAGAGGATAGAGAGAGACACCAACACGCATAGGGAAAGACACCAAAGCAAGAAAAAAGCAGTCGATGGTAACTTCAAGAACAAGTTACGAAAGGTTGGTCCCATGTTTGTGTCTTCACTAAGGGTTTTCCAAAGTAAAGCTTGACCAGCAAGGGATATGCAAATCCTGAAATAGCTGGCATTAATGTTCGCTATGACTGATGGCTTCTTTTTCGTTTTTTCTTGATTCTCAATATTATATGGCTTCACTGCGTGTTCTTGGTGTTTGCTGGTTGGAGATTCAATGACAACATCCAATTTCGATTGAGGTTGAACCATTTTTGAACTTGATTAGAAAGCTTCTAGCTACGTATTCTATACTTAATAGACAAGTCAAAGGAATGTCTTGTTTTATATTTTTGTGAGGTTCTTTATATAGTAAATGGATTGATTTAAATTAATCTGGTATACAGTGAGACTTTAAGAAAACAGATCTTCCGAAAAGATAAATCTGTCAAGATAAAATCGGAAAAGATTTATTTTCTTAAGCGTTAGACATAAATTGACGTACGCAAGGAAATAGAGAAATTATCCATGTAAGCTCGCACTTCGATCGATAATGCCCAAAAGCAAAATCACTTTGCTCCACTTAATCTCTCCCCAATATCTCTGTGAAAACAAATATAGTTTAATTTATCAATTAAGGGGGGGACCGTGTGTGTGTTTCTCCATGCATTGTGAATCCTCTTCTTTATGTCATGGATTAACACAACACTAAATAGATTTTATTGTTTCAAAAGCAAGAGAAGAATAAAGAGACTAAGCTCAAGTTATTGTGTAAATAAACCACCAAAAAAAAAGAAGCAAATAATTCAATACGAAATTTTAAGATCAGACAGGAAGAGAATTTCAAAACGTACGCTAATATAGTGCATGCATGCTATGCATATTATAACTTCGCACACACGTTTTATTGAACTGTGAGGATTGCTTCGTATATACTAACTAGGATCAATATTAATTTAATTTTTAAAGTCACAAAAATATTACTTTTAAAACACTTACAAATCTAATCCCATAAATTAGACAGCAAAAGATTTTTGTAAAAGAAGATGGAACATGATAAGTAAATTAGGTAAGAGGATGGATAAAGAAATGTAATTCTTTATAGTATCGGGAGTTTAGATTAATGACTTATTAAACTACATTAATGCCTTCAGGCTGCTTCAAACCTTTTTTTTATACACTGGATTTTTCATTTGATTTGTAAAAATACAAGAAGCGGTATCTTTCATCACTCACGATATTATTGAATCTGATGATAGAGGTTGTAAAAACCAACTTCGACATGTCCAATTACTAACAAGAAAAAGATCTAAAACCCTAAAATCTTCATAATTAATGTAGTTGTCTTAAAGAAAAAAAACTGACACTCATCATGAATTCCTTTTTCTTTATCCCTTTCATTTATTACCTTTGAACTTACATTTACATCATAAACATGCAATATAACCTCGACTTCGAACACAATGGTCTAACAACCTCGATCAGCTAGCTAGAGGCGGGAACTTCGGCATGTACGTACCAGTTTGTTGGATATGACGCGTCTAATGCATACTATTCATTCAAACACAATTGTAAGTCTCTTGTTAGAAAAGGGTTCGTTCCAAAGAGTATTTTTAATTAATGATTATTTCCGATGAACAATACATTAGATTTCCACCAATATAATTACAATATATGACTAAAAGGGCTATACAATGGGCCACACAAATAATACATACAAAACCAGATATCATAAACAACTATACGTCTAACAACTATAATACAGTTTTAGTCTTATCTTTTCCTTTTTGGATTCTTGATGTAGAGAAAGAGAAGTTCGCTTTACTCTCATTTACCAGAGGATTCACGTGATATGGAACGAGAACCATAACTAAAAACTCAAACAAGTTGTTAAACCACAAATAAAAAACATTGTAACCTATATCAATGTTTTTATATATAATTGTACACTGCATGTAACATTGACCCATCCCAAAAATACCCAGAATTAAATGCACCCATTATTAATAGTTATTAATATAATTTAAAATGTGGTAATTGTTTTTTTTGGAAGGGAAATAAACGTAAAAATTTATTTCGAAAGGAAACAAATCTGTACTCAGATTCATTATGAACTCCTAAAGATTTATTCGAGTTGTAGAAAGGATTCACTTGAAAATTGAAGATGTCAAATTGAGACCAGAAAAGATGAAAATTTCCCAATATTCTGCCCCACTGTCCAATTTGTAGTGCACATCTTCTCAGGGTTGATGATGAGTGGATTTTGCATTTCCGCCCTCTTTCCTTTTCCTCTTTCATAAACACTAAAGGAAAGATCCATGGTGGTTCGGATTACATATAAATTTAATTATACACACAATTACACCTGCTTCTCTAATAAATCTATTAATGGATAGTTAGGCTTATGTTGGTACAAAAAATTCTACATGCATTAATGATATTTGTAATTAAAAAAGTGTATATTCGATTTGATGTGGTTTTAGAATAATCCCTTACCAACAGTAACATTAAAATCACAATGGTTCACATATAATATGTTAGAAAATTAACAATATAATTATATAAATACAAATAAAAGATGTTAATTATTTGAATTAATAATGAAGTTTCATTTGATTAGTAGGGTTTGAGATAGCAACTTTTACTTCAACCATATCATTTTGGATAACCTTTTTACACATTAGAAATATATATATATATATATATCTATATATATATATATATTATCTATATATATATCTATCTATATCTATATATATGAGAAATTAACCTGATTACTATTTTTTATGCCTAAAAAATGTTTCTACCCAATAAAATTATGATAAGTGTCATCATCCCATATTTTTTTAACTAAACTCATTGAGACTATATTAAGAATATATCAAATAATGTAATTGAATGAGATTTGTCATAATTTTAGTGGGTAGGAATAATGTAGGCATAAAAGGTAGGAGGTAATTTAATTTTCTCTCTCTCTCTCTCTTCTCTCCTTCTATATATAGAATATATATATATCTATTATATATATCTATATAATATATATATATAGATATATATATATATATATCTATATATATATATTTATATATATTCTCTATATATTATCTATATATATATATCTATATATAGAGCGCGAGAGAGAGCGAGAGAGCGAAAGGTTCATATGTTCTCAACATCTATTGTGTGGAAGTAGAAACCAATCAAAAATTAAAAAAAAAACTGTATCCTTAATTTAATCAATAACGGTAGATTAGTATTCTAAGTTATGGTTAATTATGGTAATTAGTAATTAAAGTCTTTAATTTACTTTAAATCTAGAAAATCAGTTTATAAACCTTATAAAAGCACCCATCGACCCCTTTATCACAATCCATTGTTCCTCCCTCGCCTACGTTGTTCATCTCCTTGAACTCCTCTGACCAGTCATTGTTGCTCTTACTTTTCTCCCCGATATATCTTCTATGATTCGAGTTCCTATATACACCAAATCGCTGATTGTCGAGATTAGATGTTATTCAAACATGGTTTAGTGTTTTCTTGAAGAAACTATTGTTAAAATGGCGCAAGCTATGGACGATAGGTACAAACAGATGCCTCTAACCACTACCACTAATCCCTATCACCGGAGCTTCTTCCTACCAGAGTTTACAGGAGGCAAAAGAACAAAACGAAAGAGATGAAGGAGAAAAAGACAATATTCCCTTAAACTTGATTTCTACATTTTACCTTCATAAGCCTTTTGCACTATCTCTGGCTTTCTCAATTAATCTATCACACTCTATTTGTGTTTAGACCAAGATATGTTTTCAATTATTTGTGTTTAAAATCATTTATGACTTCTAATAACGCTGACTAAACCTTTGTGTCCAAACACGGTTGCAAACACATGTCTAAGAATTCTTCTCAATGTTTCACTTCAATGTATGTAAGACCTGTTCATGGTTAAAGATGTATAGCTAATACTTAGGATTTTGGTTGTATATTTTATTCTATTTATACCTTTGATGTATGTACTGTAAAATCAATCAATTGAATACAATTTCACTTCATTTATTTTTAAAGTCTTTATTGTATAAGAGCTCCATTGATTTTTTTCTCATCTTCGTTGCTTTTCCATGGAGAACAATCAACACATCTTAGGGCTTGCTACAAATTCCTCTTTTCAGATCCCCTCCATAAGTATCAAGCTTGAGACCACAAACTATTGTTTGTGGCGTACCATGATCGTATCAGCCTTGGGAACTCTTCTCATTTGTTCTCGATCCCAAACCTCCTCCTAAAACTCTTCTCATTGAACATGAAGAGGCAGAACCTACAGTTGAACCTAATTTGGACTACCTGTAATGGAAGAAGCGTGATCGCTATGTGCTTTCGTTTTTGAAATCCACCCTTTTAGAAAGAGCTCTAGCTATTATTGCTCGCTTCACCTCCTCTCATCTTGCTTGGACGGATATTGTAAAGACCTTTCAATCACAAACCAGAGCCATATGAATGTCTCTGAAGACTCAACTACAAACTCTGTCCAAGGGCTCGTTATCTATGATCGAATATGTTGAAAAGAAATGTGCAATTGCTGACTCATTGGCTGAAGATCTCAATCCCATTTTAACAGAAGACTTAGCTAATTGGTCACATTCTCAACGGGATTGACTCCTCTTACGACTCGTTTACTACCATCTTTATGATAAATGATGACCTTACTTCTATTGAAAACATGTTTAGCTTACTTATTCAAGAAGAGGATCGATTAGAACAGGAGCACCTCCGACAAACTATATCCATTCCATCTGCTTCTCCTGGTTCTCCTCTCTTGGCCCTCAATGTGAATCGCAATCCCTCAAGGTATAACTCCAACAAATCTGGCTCCTCCTCTACACAATACTCCTCAAATCGCTCCTTCGATTCACGTCGTCTTCGACCTCAATGCCAATTATGAAACATTGATTTATTAATCAGATAAATTAATGAATCAATCAACTAACAATTGATCTCATATTATTTTATTAATCACATAATAAATTAACAAATCAATTATCTATTTCCAATTAATATATTAGTTATAATATCTTTACAAATCATTTATTACATGTAACGCCCGTGTTTTTAGGCTAGGCATTAATATTGACATAATGGTCTAGGTTAACCTTTGTAACTCATTTTGAAGAAATGAAAGGGAATTATGTGAATTTTATGTAAATTATGTGTTTTATGCTTAATTATTAGGGTTTAATTAATTAAGAATAAAAATGAGCGTCAAAATTAAATATTAGATA